TTCTTTTGGTAAGTTCCGTGTGAAAAAAAAAAAAAAAAATCAGGGAGCTTGGGCTCATTTCATCTACTGGTACAGTATATTTATATTTCAGCTCCAATCAAAGCTAGCCAATATGCCATCCCTATGTATTTTCCCCTCTGAGCCCTGCCTCCCCACTATAATTTCCACCGACATTTTGTGTGTAAATGCAGTAATAGACACATTTATCACATCAAAAGGGATTCAATTTTCTTTTCAATCATCCACCGGTATGAATAGCGCCACATCCTCTGTGGCCAACAATAAGGGGCCATTACCGTGAGCCAAAGGATGGCGTCGCCTTCTCTATGCATTCAAAAGGAAAGTGTGTCAAACTGTTTTCCAACGCCAACATTTGTTCTAGGCAAATGGAGACAGCTTTCAGACAGGTTAGTATCCAATTTTATTGTCAGACAAATGTCATTTTTGTGTGGAACCGCATCAATCACTGGGCTCAGACACCAGTGTTCATCTACGGTGAAGCCGGCAGTTAGTCCATTTAATACTCTAACTCTCATGTCAGTAGCACATTGCCAAGTTCAGAAATGACACCCACTGTCTCTTCATTATGTGAAGAGGGTGACATGTGGGATTCAGGCCTCAGTCCTCGAGGGAAAGGGTGGGGGGCTAATTGCCAGAGACACTGTTGATCTACATGAGCGAAGAACATACTTTATAACTGCAATTAGTCGTTCCATTGGACAGGATATTTTCTGTCAGATTTGGTGTGTTGTGTCTTGGAGCTGCAGGAGTGTTGTACTTGCAGTTACTGTACATCATTTAACTGTTAAATGATGTTCATCGATACTGTAAATACTGCAGTTCTTAAATGTGCAGCAGGGTTCTGACGTAAAAAAAAGTAATAATAATAAATCACTACTTCATTCAAAATAATCAAAGTGGCTTATTTCCAATTTGGCAAGGTTCACTCAGAATCATCAATACCATAACTAAAGCATGGTTTCTTCATTCAGCTACTGTATAGGTCAGGTTTTGGTTTGGTTTACTCAAATACAGCAGTGTTAGGCACAGAACAATTAAACTTATTTATATTCTTGTCCTTATGTATCTAAAAATAGAAATAAAATATACTGTACGTGTATGGACTTGGATGGAAGTATGGATCATTTGCTAACTAATCAAGCTTCAGTTGTAATTTGTTTTTTTTCCATTAATTGTATTTTTCTGAATTAGTTTTTTAATCTTCGTTTTTTTTTTTTTTTTTAATCTGACATGGCCGTCAGACCCACATAATAAAAAGACTTTTTGCTGGCATGACGTGATACCGTCAAATATGACTTACCAGAGGGGAAAGAAGCTGGAGAGCCGAGCCGGGTTGGGTCAGTCAGAAGTGGGAATGTTGTAAGAAGTTAAAGGCCGGTTCAGCCGGGTATAAAAACCCCATATATACACAGTACTTATTGGTAGGAAAGCAGTATAAGCGGCTGCTTTTGCAAATGGTTTGCTTGCCCTTATGAGTTAAAGTGAAATGCACAGCTGTCTCCCAACAGTTTCTAGGAGATGCGTCCAGAACCAGCTATATGGCTGTCATCTCCTTCACTTCTAGCTCCCTCCACTAACTATCCGCTCCATTCATAAAAGTTCACCATTCATATCTTTGTCATAATTAACACTGAGACATCAGCATTAATGTCATTTCTTACTATTCTCCTAGATTTTTTTCTATTTTGTAGAATCAGTGCTCCTAGAAAACAACTGTTAAGCACAGAGCCCTTAAGTATGGCTGGTAAGAGTGGTTAAGGAGGACTGAGGGGTCACACACAACTTTGCAAATGGTACAACTCGACTTTTTCCATGTGTTCTTCACGTGAAAATACGCACTACACACACACACACACACACACACA